CAGCTCTTCCACGAAAATCAAAGCGTTTGAATTCCCTAATTGAACAAGTAGATCAATTAGTCCAAACAGTGCTGGTAACTGCAAAATATTAGGACTTCACTTCACTCTTGGATTTAAGCCTCTCTCTCTTTTTTCCTTGTTCATTATTTGGAAGACTTGCTGACATTTACAAAGAAGTAAATTAAAGGCCTTTGCAGACTGCCAGAAATAGTGCAAATTGAGTCCACTTTAAGGGTTAGGGTTAGGGTTAGGGAATCATGGGAACTGTATTTTATTGTGGCACCAGAGCTCTCTGACAGAGAAGGCTCAATGTCTCAGAGAAAAACAATTCCCATGATTCCCTAGCACTAACCTAACCCTTAAAGTGGACTCAATTTGCACTATTTCTGGCAGTCTGCAAAAGCCCTAAGTGTTTCATTGTTGGACTGTGGTTCTGGAGACAAGGGTTTGATTCCCCGCTGGGCCATGAAACCCACTGGGTGACCTTGGGCAAGTCACATACTCTCAGCCTTGGGGAAAGCCCTGGCAAACCTCCTCTGAATAAATATTGCCAAGAAACCCCCATGATAGGGCCTCAGGATCTTGAAGGCACATAAGAGCAACAACAGCAACTCAGAAGCTATTTAGAAGTGGAAACATCAGTTTTGGGCACACGTGCAGAGCATGTGGACTACAAACTGGATGGACTTAAAACTGAATCTAATGAAATCTGTGTTATCGAGGTCCAGAGCTTGGCAAAGTTACTTTTTCTACTACAGCTCTCAGAATCCCTCACTCAACATGGCCAAAAAATAACTTTCCCACTATGTGCTTTCAAGTAAATCACATGCTGAAAACTCTGGGATCGGAATGGGTGGCTGGTAGGAATCGTGATCTAGGCCAGGCCAAAGATCCCTGTAGCCTAGCTTCCTTCCTGCAGTCGTACTTAACTACTTCCACAAGGAGAAGTAAAGCAACGCCCTGCCCTCTCCGATTCCCAGCCCAGCAAATGACATTCAAAAGTAATATTGTACTGCTTGTTACTGAAGAAGGTCAGAAACCTGAGCCTGTTCTGAGCACCAATGGACCCCTCCAGATGTTGATTGCTCCCATCTTCCACAGCGAGCATGGCCAGGGATCAGGGGTAATGGGACCTGTAGTCCATTGACATCAGGAAGGCCGCAGTTTCCCCACTTTTGGTGTATGGTTTGTTATTAGCTGCCTTCAAATCGACCTCTACTCATGACGACCCTGTCTCCAAGCACCCCATTCTCTACCTCAGGGGTAAGCAACTTTTCCCCTTTAAGGGCCAAGGAACTTCAGCTCCCAGAAGCCTCAGCCATGTTGGCCAATAGCTCCTGGGATTCTGGGAGCTGAAGTCCCTCGGTCCTTAAAGGGGAAAGGTTGCCTACCCTGCACCTCTCTACCTCTGTAGACTCTGTAGGCTCAGGTTCATGGTCTCCTTGATTGAATCCATCCATCTGGCATCTCTCTCCTTCTTCTACCCTCTACCTTTCCCAACATGATTGTCTTTTCCAATAAGTCATATGCCTTCTCATGATGTGGCCAATGTAGGACAGCCTCAGTTTAGTCATCCTGGCTTCCAAGGAGAGTTCAGGCTTGATTTGTTCTAGGACCCAATTGTTTGTCCTTTTGGCCATCCAAGAGTATTCTCAGCACTCTTCTCCAGCACACATCTCGAATTAATTTTCTCCCTATCTGTTTTCTTCACTATCCAGCTCTCACATCCTTACAGGGTAATGGGGGATATAATGGCCTGGACTTCTGCACAGTTGTCTATTCTTAAGGCCATCCTGTCTCCCCTGACATCTGTGAGGCATCACCCAATGATTTCAGAGACCCTGGGCTGTTTGGGCTCCCTTGAGGATTGCTCTGAAACAAGAAAGCGAAGGAATTACCCACTAGGAAGGCCTCCCCCTAACTCTCCCATCCCAGCGCCTGCTTCCTTAGAGGACTGGAAAATGAACCTCAAGAAAAACTAAAAGCCGAAATCAAAGGAGCTTTCGCAAGGAGGCATGCACTGTACTGTATTTCAATAACCTCTTGGTTTAGTCTGGGGCCTGAACTGCTGGCTGCAACCGGGGGTATAAACAAAGATTTCATCCAAACTTACAAATGTATTCAAAATCCAGCTTTCAGTGTAGGCCGCCAAAGGCAAGCCAAGTAGGACAAAAATAATGACCATGGAGGGCCTACATGAATTCGAATTAGGCAATGAGGAAATTTAAATAGTCAAAGATTTCTTGTACCTGAGATCAAACATCGCCCAGAATGGAGACTGCAATCAAGAGATAAGAAGAAGACTAGGAATGGGAAGGGCAGCCATCAAAGAGTTAGAGCAGATATAGAGAAGATAAAGATATATAACTGAGCACCAAAATTAGAATGGTCCAAGCCACTAGGTATGAATGTGAGAGCTGGACTGTGAAAAAGGCAGATTAAAAAAAAGAAAATCAACTCATTTGAGATGGGATGTTGGAGAAGAGTACTGAGGATACCGTGGACAGCCAGAAAGACAAACAAATGGGTCCTTGAGAGAACCAGACCAGAAATACCACTGGAGGCCAAGACGATTAAACTGAGGCTGTCCTACTTTGGCCACATCATGAGAAGGCAGGATTCATCCGAAAAGGCAATAAAGCTGGGAAAGGTAGAGGGCAGAAGAAGGAGAAGTCGAGACTCGAGTAAGGAGGACACAGGCATGAGGCTGCAGGAAATGAGCAGAGCAGTGGAGGGCAAGGAGACATGGAGATGTCTCATCCACAGGGTTGCCATGAGTCCAAGGGCCTTTGCAGACTGCTAGACATAGTGCAAATTGAGTCCACTTTTAGGGTTAGGGTTAGTGCTAGGGAATCATGGGAACTGTAGTTTATTGTGGCACCAGAGCTCTCTGACAGAGAAGGCTCAATGTCTCAGAAAAAAATACAGTTCCCATGATTCCCTAGTACTGAGGGGGGTTGCAGACTGCCAGAAATAGTGCAAATTGAGTCCACTTTAAGGGTTAAGGTTAGTGCTAGGGAATCATGGGAATTGTTTGTTTTTTTCTGAGACATTGAGCCTTCTCTGTCAGAAAGCTCTGGTGCCACAATAAAATACAGTTCCCATGATTCCCTAACCCTAACCCTAACCCTAACCCTAACCCTAACCCTAACCCTAACCCTAACCCTAACCCTAAAAGTGGACTCAATTTGCACTATTTCTGGCAGTCCTATGTCTACTCGAGGGCAGCTAACAACAACGATAGGGCCATTTACCCGCAGACTTTATCAGTAAATGGCCCACTAGATATCCTGAGCTAGGCAGAGGCTTAGGGAGAGTTTGGTGCATGGCCTCCAAGGTGGCTGGAAAGAGGAGGAGGAGGAGGAGAATCAGCAGCCCAGGAATGCGGCGCGTCTCCCTTCCTTCCCTCCAGCGCCCCTTCCTATCTTATCTCCCTTTGCGGAGGGCGAGTCCCCATTCTAAACACAGGAAGGCTGCCAGGAAGCAAGCCCCTCCCTGAGCTTAGCAGGGCTTAATGTCTCAGTAAACAAATCCGGACCGTTTGCACCGAAGCAGGTAACACCGATTGGGGACTGTGCATGTTGTACAGCCCTCTGCAAGCGTCCTACCAGAAATAGTGCAAATTGAGTCCACTTTAAGGGTTAGGGTTAGTGCTAGAGAATCATGGGAATTGTTTTTTGTCTGAGACACTGAGCCTTCTCTGTCAGAGAGCTCTGGTGCCACAATAAAATACAGTTCCCATGATTCCCTAACCCTAACCCTAAAAGTGGACTCAATTTGCACTATTTCTAGCAGTCTGCAAAAGCCCTATGTGTGTTGTTGTGCGCCTTCAAGTCGTTTCCAACGTATGGCAACCCTAAGGTAGACCTTGGGCAAGTCACACTCTTTCAGCCTCAGGTGAAGGCAATGGCAAACTACCTCTGAATGAGTCTTGCCAAGTAAACCCTGTGATAAAGTCGCCTTAGGGTCACTATAAGTCGGAAATAACCTTGAAAGGACATAACAACAACAACGACAATGGCAAACCTATCACGCGCCTTTCTATGGCTGAGAGTATATGACTCGCTCAAAGTTACCCAGTGGGTTTCATGGCCAAACTGGGATTAGAGCCCTGGTCTCTAGAATCGTAATGCAACACTCAAACCACTACACCATACTGGCTCCTACCGTTTTCAAAAAATGTCCATTGGTGTAGTGGTTTTGTTGGAAGATTTTCTGCATTCTCTTTCCCCCTCCTTAGGTAGAAAGGGATTTCCTGCATGCAAACTCTCCTTTTTCTCTCTCATTCAAACTAACCATGTGACTTAGGTCACTGCCCCTTTTGGACTAACAGATTCAAAGATTTCAAGTGAACTGTTGGTTCTCCATCTTCCTCCTCTCTCAACTTTCTTTAGAAAGATGAGATAAAGATTTCTTTTTACCTTAACTGTTCACTACCTAGATTAGGATATAGCCTTTATGTATATATAGATTAAAACCATTAGTAAACTTTTGTTTTGAATTACAAGCTACTTGTATATTTTTTGGAGTCAGTCTCAGTTCTTAGGGAAGCATAAGTTAGACAAGAGCACGTTTCTGATCCTCTGCTGATTTTAAAGCTAAACCCTAACA